ACATTTTCCTCGCGAATCCACGGTCTCTCCGATGGGATGGTAGGTCTGGTTGGGCTCGTCGTTGTCCAGGCCTGAGAGAGCATCTAAGTCCTAAATTTACGCAATAGTTTTCTTTCTAACGACTGGGAGAGCCTCGAATCCTCCTAAATTTATTCAATAATTTTTTTTTCTGACTGCTCCTGGCGCCGTTCCCCTCGGAAATTTCGACCGCTTTCTCGATCGCCACCTACACGTCTGGTATTATTCCTTCCGGCCGCTCGCCTCGCTTCCTTGCCCTCGCTGCTCTCCCACGAAAATTCTCGAATCCCCCGAACCCTAGGGCGGCGAGGAGTCGTGCTCCGGTGACGGGCTTGGTTTTGTTCGATCCCTCCCGCTGCTGATTCGTCGCCCTGTTCGCGTGTTCTCATAGACGGAACGCGGTTACTCTCGTCTCTTGGTGAGTTTCGTCGTCTTCTGTGCTGTGTTTTTTTGTTCGTGGGAGATCGGTGGCATTTTAGTGGCGGAACCTGGGGCTTCTCGCGCGAATCGTTTGCAGTGGGGCGCAAGTGCTCTTGAGATGGAAGTTTAATTGCAGTTGTTAGATAATTTCTTATTCTCCCTCCCTTTTGGGGGAGAGATTGGGGGTGCATTCGGAGTTTCGGACCATTTCCTTCGTCTTTTGCAGCCTGCAATTTTGCGTTAGCTCCATGGTTTGTTCAATTGCATACCCTATTGTTGATACGCTGTTTTCATCTGGATTTTTTTGTGATCATGTCACTAAGTTTGATGAGTGAACATCATGGTCAATTTTGTGTATACATCACACCCCAATCCAATATTCCTATATGCATATGGTGTGAACTCCATAGCTTCATTGGTTTCATTGTAATTTTGGCTAAAACTTGACCGTTTCTCACTTTCCCATGGACAATTTTGGTCCCTAAGTAGTACTCCGACCAAGTCTTGTACAAGTGCAATTCTCCATGCACCTATTCTCTTAGTCAATGTTCAACTTGGTTGGACCTATAACTTCAGAGCCTTGGCCTTCAAATTTTCTTGCTCCATATGGCTTCTTTGCTGTGCCCCTGCTGAAACTTTACTTAATTCACATTCTGTATTTCTTGACTGTTGTGGTGATTGAAGTTGTTGCAGTGAAAACTAGAAGAAGAGAAGAACGGCCTCAGAATGGATAGAAACCAGGAACTGGAAGAGGTGGTCCCAAATGACTCTGACCCTCTTCTTGGGAGGGAGAACAGCGAGTCAGAGTCATCGGTGGAGCTGTCACCGCCACAGCCAGCAACTGTGAGACCGCCGGAGATTGAGGATGAAGAGACCGACGGCTCTTCTGCTGCGTGCTGCCGCATTTGCCTTGAGGCCGAGTCTGAGATAGGTGATGGTCCCAATGAGCTACCTCAGTGCATTTTTGTTATGCCTGTTAGTTCACTTTATTTCAAATCAGGAATGCTTTTGTCAGGTGTTAATCTTCCTGTGTGGTAGTAGCAAGATGAAAAATGAAGAATACTCATTCCTTTGATATTTTGCTTACCTTGTCTATTGGTCTAACAAAATTCTCTGTACTGCATTTATTGTGTGACTAGTAGAATATGATATGGCTTGGTCACAGGATACATCCAACAAAATAGGAACAGGAATGATATCTGATCTGAAGTTCTGTACCATACCAGATACCACAAGCATTAAGCCTTAACTAGGAGAATAAACAAGATGCACAGCTGACTAGATTACATAAGTTTTTTGCATTCCCTATGCTATTAGATAGAAATCAAAACCTGTCTTTTTAGGCTATCAACACTTTCCTTGACGTAACTGATTTAATGATTACCCTGGATAATATCTGCAATGCTGTTGTGACATCTGAGAACAAAAACCAGCAGTAAGTTCTAGTCCTGTCAGCCACTTACAAGGAATAAATATTACTTTGCTCATGTTGAACAACAACCAATTTGTAATTCAGCCTTGGTGTGCGAATAAAATGAAATTAATTGCCCGTGTATTAGGATTCAGGATGTGTATTGGGCTAACATTTTGTTTTGGGTAATTGAACCTGTAGAAATGCTTAGGATACAATATATCGGTTGGGTGCTTCAGTTTTCTTTCCCTATCCAACCAACCAATGATGTAACTCACGCCTGTGATTCCATTGATTCTTTTATTGTTTTTGCAGGTGATGAGCTAATATCACCTTGCATGTGCAAGGGAACTCAGCAGTTTGTTCATCGTTCTTGCCTTGACCACTGGCGGTCTGTTAAGGTACACCCAGTGCTTTCCTAACATCTTCCATGCCAATTTCCTTCAAGGACATGCTGTGTGCTTTTAGATTATATGAAGACTTTAGTGCGGGATAGAGGGAACATATTACATAGAAACCTGCACAAAGCAGTGGTGGACTAGTTGAAGTTTTATATATGGAGATTAATGCAGCTATCATTGATCAGGTCATGTGTATGGTAGAATGAGCAGGAAGTAGCTATGCTGCATAGATGTTAGGTTTTGTTTTCCTCTGGTGGTAGTAGATGATTGTGCTCCTGCAATGCACAAGAACCCAACCCTTTTTCTTCATTAACCATTTTTTTCTTTCAAATGGCAGATTCTGACATTGCAAAGATGTCATCAAAATGAGAATTTTGACATGTACTGGCAGTACACTACCTGTTAGAAGTTGAGCCGCATCTCTTCAAGCTATCTTTTTTCCAGCTTGATCTGGAGGTTTAACTGTAGAATGCAGAGTCTTGGCTGCCATTTCTGTGCCACGTAAAGTCTAGCTGCACTAAACCTTCTATTAAAGTTATGCCTGAACTTGTGCTCCTTATTGGCCTTCAGTGATTCTCTTTGCACTTGATTTCGTAGTTAGATGTTATGGGTATTCAAATACAGTATCTTAACTGCTATCTTCATTAAGTTGTCTTCTATTTATGTGGATTCACTGGAGAATAAAGTTATGTACTAGTTATGATTTTGATATTTCATGCTTTTGTAGGAAGGATTTGCATTTTCACACTGCACAACTTGCAAAGCTCAGTTTCATCTTCGAGTGGAGACCTGGGAGGATAACTCATGGCGTAAAATGAAGTTCAGGATCTTTGTTGCAAGGGATGTTCTACTCGTCTTTCTTGCTGTACAGCTTGTAAGTCTTCTAACATTTCAAAGCACTCAAGTTACGATGTGCTTCTTTCACAAAACGAATCTGATAGCTTTACTTTTAGAGATGCTCACGTTATGATTCATCCTATGCAACTCATATCATGTTACTACATTTGAAACGTTGTTCTATGCCTTAAGTATAATATATTTCATTCTTTCTACTTGTTCAGTTAAGTAATTAGAAGTAATGAAATCGAATTTGTTTGCTGTTTTGCTCAACTCCTCGGTATAAGTTGTGATTCATCCTATTGCAACATATATCATGTTACTACATTTGAAATGCTATTATATGCCGTAAGTATAATCTATCTCATCATGTCTACTTGTTCAGTTTAATAATGAAGTCATGAATCGAATTTGTCTGCTGTTTCACTCGACTCCTGGGTATAAGTTATATGGTGAATATTTGTAAAAGAGATACATAGTTGAAGAAACATGATGCAATGCCATAGGACAATGTGTTTTGCTATCAACATTTTAGCAAGTGAAAATCACTTAAATCACATTGTTTTCATTGTTTGCAGACTATTGCTATTATTGGTGCGATTGCATACTTTCTAGACAGGGATGGAAGTTTCCGGAATAGTTTCAGCGATGGTTGGGACCGCTTCTTGTCAAAGCACCCAATACCTTTCTACTATTGCATAGGTAGGCAAATTGTCTGTTTTCCTATCCATTGTCATGAATCATGATGCATCCATATTTATCGTTGATGTGTGCATTTTGGTTATTTACAAAGGAACTTATTGTGCCTCTGATAAAAAAAATGGCTGTATGTTTGAAATGCAGGTGTTGTGGTTTTCTTTGTGCTGCTTGGATTCTTCGGGCTGATAGTACACTGCTCATCCTTCAACGACAACCAGGATCCATGCCTGGCTGGGTGCCGGAACTGCTGCTATGGTTGGGGCATCCTGGACTGCCTGCCTGCTTCCTTGGAGGCATGCTTTGCCCTGGTTTTGGTTTTCATCGTTGTGTTTGCTATCCTTGGCATCGCCTACGGCTTCCTTGCTGCAACCATGGCGGTCCAGAGGATCTGGCAGAGGCATTATCACATCCTGACCAAAAGGGAGTTGACAAAGGCAAGCAACTTCCCTCTATAGATCAGTACTCTTATAGTATCTAGGACAACATATTCAATTGATCCATTCAAATTATAAGCATTCAAGCACGTCAATCATGTGAAAATCTAATTGTCGCGCGGCCAATTTTTCAAGGCAGCTGAAACTTTCACTTATGATATGCAGGAATACGTGGTGGAAGACCTTCACGGCAACTACACGGCGCCGAAGCTTGATCCAGAGCATGAGGAACGGCTGAAGATGCTGAAGCTCCTCTAGAGAGAGAGAGAGGTGCACGCCTTCCTGTATCCATCCATGGCAAGTGCATCAACATGGGGCAATCCTCTCTGCGTCCTGCGTCCTAGATCAGGGAATGTTCACCCCATAACACTGTACAAAAAGATGAAATCCTGCTTGGACCTGTATGAAATCCGTATAGGTTCTCATGAGTTTTACCTACTCGGTAACCTTCGTCGAAGACTTCTAGTTCCGGTGGCTTTCGTTTTTCTTGTCTCCGAAAGTGTATGCGTGTTCATCTTTTCTCCTTCTTTTTTTTTAAGGATTGAAAGTTTGTTGTCTGAATTGATCCTGCTATTTCGTTACCTTTTAGCGTCCGAAGTAAGAACTGTTCTCAGTGCGCATGTTGTGTAACAACTGTGTGGTAAAATCCATTCCCAAATATTATTCCAGTGCTTGCAGTTATTCCATGATTAATTACACCTCAGTTTACACGACACATTATGCTTTCACCTGCTGACTCGCTAGTAAACTGAGCACATGAGAAGCACGTCACGGCTAGCCTCAGCCGGTGCCGGTGACGCCGAGATCCAGCTTCCCGTCCTCCGTGCCGGCGGCGAACACCGGCCCGCCCTTGCCCGCGGCATCCTCGACGGTGTCCTCCATCTTCCTGACAGGCAGCCCGCGCTCGTCCTCGCCAGATCGGAGCTCCGTCCGCGGAGTCTGCCGTCTGTCCTGGCCCTGGGCAACGCCGCCACCGGTGGTCGCAGCCGCCGATGTGTAGGTGGTCGCCGTGAAGGCGCCCTTCGGCTGAGCTCCTTGCGCGCCTGACATGATTGCGCTCCGATGCTCCCGGCGTCCGTCGGCCGGTGGATACGGCGGTCGCCGGTGGGGTACCTTGCTTTATAATAACGTGGCTTGTGGTTACGTGTCGTGCCATCTGTACTGAGCCGCTGCCACGTGGAACCGAGTTCCTCCAGAACTTGAACACGTGTGTGCCATACATAGCTTGATCGTGTATGCAGTGCACCCAAATGGCTCACGGCTTCTGTTTATAAAAAATCAGAAAAAAAAGAAAGAAAAGGAGTTCACGGTTCGAGCCCATCCACCCTCCTGATTTGCAGGTGCTTCGTCGAGGCCGGCCTTGGGCGAATTGCGGCCCATATGGACTCAGTCGAACATGACGGAAAGGAGTCACGACGGATTCATTTTAGCAGCAGGCCGTGGTAGAGGGGCGGCGAATCGGGCGCCGAGGGGCGCGCAGGGAGACGGTGGCGGAGCGGCACATACGGGCTGCGGACGGTCACGTACGAGCAGTGGAAGAAGAATGGGAAAGGGCGTGGTCACCAACAGGAGGCGCGGCAGTGCCGGCCCCTCGGCGGCGTGAAAGGGCTCCGAAACTGCAGCGAATATCGTAGCAGGGGGAAGTGGCCACCGCACCAGCAGTCGCAGTCAGCAGCTGGGGCTCTCCATTTCTCCCGAGCTGCGGCCTGCGGCGCTGGGCAAGCCATGGCCTGCGTTTATTCTTTCTTAGGTTAAACGAGCCGCTGCACAAAAGGAAGAAACAAAAAAAAAAGATGTGTTGCGTACACAGTTTCAGCCTGTTCGTTTGGCCGTGGCTTGTCGTAAACGATCGTAAATTTTCAGCCGGAACAGTATTTTTCTCTCACACAAACCTTGAGTTGGACACGACAGGACGATTATCGGCTGCCGGTTCATGCGGGCTGCATGCGTCTGCCCTCTGCCGGCCGGGCGCGCGCTGAGCTTTCAGCCGGCGGAGGGTCCGAGGATTTTTCTTTCACAATAAATTAGCTTTAGTCGGCTTTAATATCAGCCGAACGAGTCTGGCTCTCCATTTCATTTCAGCCGCTCAGTGTACCGGAAATCGAATCGTGGCGCTTTTGATTCGCGATCTGGGAGGCTAATTCGAAATAGACCGTGTTTAACCGTTGTTCGACAAGTGTCGGCGTCGACTACCTTCCGCACACGCGTGCTCCAACACTCAGCCTGTTCGCTTGTTGGTTTCATACAGGGTTTATCAGCCAGCCAACAGTGTTTTTCTCTCACAACAAATCAGCACCAACCGGATTTATTAGTAAAAAAAAACCAACCAACGAATAGACCGACCAGCTTCTCTGAAAGTGAAGGTGGTCGTTGTTTTGTCTTAAAAAAAAAAGAAAAGAAGAAAGAAAGAGAACCACGAGACCATGACACGAGAGGGACGAGTACAATCACCAAAATCTGATACAATCTGATATGGTGGTGTGTGATGCTGGCGCTGTCAGGGCATGGACCAATAATTGTACGCCTGCCTGGTGCCTGCCAACTACCAAACAGCCTACGAGCCGGTCCACCAGGCAGGCTGGCCTCGTTGTAGGCTTCTCAGCACATGCCTGCCCGGAGACCGGAATCCTAAACATCCTTGTACTGACATGACTCACGACAAGTCGCCTCTTAGGCGGTGATTAAATCCACGAAGTAAAGTTTAAAGATGTTATATAGGATATTATATAGAGTGTTTGGTAGTAATAATAAAATAAATTAAAGAAGTTCTAAGTAATCCGCAAGATAAATTTATTAAGCATAATTAATCTATCATTAACATATGTTTACTGTAGAGCCACATTGTCAAATTATAGGCTGATTAGGCTTAAAAAATTCGTCTCGCAAATTAGTCGCAATATATGTAATTAGTTATTTTTTAGTCTATATTTAATATTCTATGCATGTGTCTAAACAACCGATGTGATAGAAAGTAAAATTTAGGTGGAGGAACAAAACAGGGCCTTAATTCCGCCCTGCAGCTGCACGGGGTGATGCGGTGCCATAAGACCATTTGATCGGTCATTAGTACTACTAGTACCAGTAAAGATTGTCTCTCATGCTTCACTCTCGCCTGCTGTTCCCCCAACCACGAGCTGGGAGCCGCAACTGCAAGAGGCCAAGAGCTCTCTCCTCTCGTTCATCTCATGCGGATGGTCGAGCACAAAAACAGCCACCCAAAGTCCACGTGAATTGAACGGACACCAGATGGCCGTTCGTTTGTTGGGACAGACACGGATCGTGGTCCCGGCTCAGGGATCCTCCCTTCGTGCTGTTTTTTTTCCAAGTGTAAAAACCTTCCCAGGCGTTTTTCCGCCCACGAATTTTCGACCTATTTTGATGGTGGCAGGCAGGGGACGCAGAGGCCAAATCAAGCAAAGGCCCCTCAGCTGCACAGCTTTTTCTCAAAGAAGAGGTGCCATACTGCCATTTGCTAGCCGCGCCATATGGCTGCTCCAGCCTCCAGTACAGGTACTACTGCATGTGCAACAGTCCGACGAAGCCTCTTTTGGCCAGTTGCAGTTGGTGGCGGGCATCTGATCTCGCCAAAGCGACATCTGAATCTCATCATGGAGCTGGAGGTGGAGCGGGGGGCATTGAAGAACCGTGCACGACCACGAGAACCGCCGCCTACTTTCACTGCCTCCTCAATGCGACTTGCGACGCCGTCCTCTCGCTCGCCGGGATGCCTGCCGGATGCGCCTGCATTATCTTTCTCATCAACCAACCAAGTGCACTTGCACGCAACTTTGCTGTCCAAATGTTAGGCCGCCTTGGTTCCTAGTAGAAGCTGCCGCATGCCTATGCTGATATGCCTGCATTGGCACGGGGACTTGAAAAGCGACATCATTGCAACGGAAACGAAAGGCAGCTATGATGTTTGTGTGTTTTGGGGATCCAGCCCCGGCCATGCATGCAGTGCAATGCAACCAGCTGGCTATCCAAAGCCGTTCTTTCATCGGGAAGGTTACCAAAAGCTTGGGCACGATGTGCACCGCACTAGCTAGCTAGACGCTGGCTTGTCCACTTTAATTGGACGGGTTCAACTCAGGGCACGCGAAGAACTGCCCATGTTTTTTTCTTTCTAGAAATGCGGCGAAGCACTGTTGAGTGTGCCTAATGACGCACACCAGCCTCACCGGTTCCTCAATTTGTTTTGTGCTTGTGGTGACCAGATAAATGCGGCGCAGAGTAAGAGCAACCAGATTCCAAGCATCAGTCGACGTCGAGATGTTCGATTTTCATAATAATGAGAAAACGATCGGCGTCAGGAGAGTTTGGTTGGATTGATCAGCCGACCCACTAAGAAAGGCTTTTCCCGTCCTTTTGCAGGGGCCACCCTTTTACGATAGAAAAATTCCCACGAACATTTCGTATTGTAAAAGGGGTGAAGCGATAATTCACCGTCGCCATGATATGCCCGTGTGACTTGGATTGGATATACTATATGCCAGCCGATAGGCGATAGGCTTGTCTTCGCCGACAGCCATCACGGGCAAGCTTCGCGGTACTTATTCCCGTGCGTGCGCGCCCGCATGCGTGTTCTGACTTCTGAGGCACCATCATGCGAGCCAGCTACTGCGTCGCGTTTATATATCCATCTGTTGTTCAGCTCGATAAGATGTGGTGAATGGAATGAACGGGCGGCTCAGGGCCGGCGTCGTTTTCAAAGTGGATTTCACGGACGGCAGAGACGACTTTCTGCACTTCTCTTCTCTCCCCTGAAACAGCGAGACGCAATAGTGCAGTGCTTCTGGAATCGTCAGTCTGGGGGGAAGCGTGTTTGGATCTTTGTCTTTAGAGTAAAATGCACGAGGATATCCATTAACTTTCGTCGGGGTATCATCTAGGTCCATCGATTTTGAAACTGTATTTTTGATCCATGAACTTTTAAAATGGTTCACTGCAGGTTCACGCATGCATGCATGCACGTCGGCTTCGGCCTCCGGTCTTTGCGTCGGTGGAGCCATGCCTGCACTCGCCGCCGTCGCTCGTCTGCTGGGCATGCATGTGTGTTTTCCTGCTCGAATCATGACAGGGTTAGTGCATTTCGGCCCGGCTAATCGGCTAAGCGGCCATGTGGTGTCACGCCACCCTGCTGCTGCTCCTATCGCTGGCTCTCCGCGGCGCAACGTACCTGCAGGAGCGGAAGAACTTCATCGTCCACGCGCAGCCGCTGCTCCATCATGGACATCATCGTCGGGCTGGACGCCGCCGTCAAGGACGGCGTCGACGTACTGTCCTCCTCCATCGGCGCCTACTCGGGCATGCAGTTCAACTACGACCCCATCGCCATCGCCGCGTTCAAGGCCATGGAGCGCGGCATCTTCGTCAGCTGCGTCGCGGGCAACGCGGGGCCGGACCCCGGCACGGTCGGCAACGGCGCGCCATGGATGCTCACCGTCGCCGCGAGCAGCATGGACCGCGCGATACAGACCAATGTGAAGCTCGGCGACGGCGAGGAGTTCCACGGAGAGTCCCTGTTCCAGCCCAGGAACAACTCCGCCGCGGACCCGCTCCCGCTGGTGTACCCTGGCGCGGACGGCTTCGACGCCAGCCGCGACTGCAGCGTGCTGCGCGGCGCTGAGGTGACCGGCAAGGTGGTGCTCTGCGAGAGCAGGGGCCTAAGCGGCCGCATCGAGGCCGGCCAGATCGTGGCGGCGTACGGCGGCGTGGGCATGATCGTGATGAACAAGGCGGCGGAGGGGTACACCACCTTCGCCGACGCGCACGTCCTCCCGGTGTCGCACGTCAGCTACGAAGCCGGGGCCAAGATCATGGCCTACCTCAACTCCACGGCCAACGGGACGGCTAGCATCGACTTCAAGGGGACGATCATCGGCTCGTACCCGTCGCCGACGGTCACCTTCTCGTCCCGTGGGCCGAGCAAGGCGAGCCTGGGCATCCTAAAGCCGGACATCACGGGCCCCGGCATGAACATCCTCACGGCGTGGGCGCCGAGCGACTCGCACACGGAGTTCTCCGACGGCGGGGCCGACCTCTCCTTCTTCGTCGAGTCCGGGACGTCCACGTCGACGCCGCACTTGAGCGGCATCGCGGCGCTCCTCAAGACCTTGCACCCAGACTGGTCACCGGCCGCGATCAAGTTGGCGATCAGACGGGAGTTATTGCTTAGGACCCACGCGTCATACACACATGCATGGGAAGGGAGAGAGAGAAGCTAGCAAGATAAAGTTCTTCAAATGCTTCTTCAAGCTCCTGGTCTTCCACATTGCTTCATCGGCATGGACGACGCCGCACGGCCCGGCCAGCACCGCGGACGGCTGCCGCCGCGGCATGTTCGTGGAGCATGTTAGCGTCTTGGTTCGATAGTGCCGCCTGCGGCACTATCATGGCTTAGCGCGTGCTATCATGGGACGCAGGGCAAGCACCGCAGTACTCAGAGTGTCTGTGGCACTAACACTAAAAGTGTCAAACACCTCGTAAACTTCAGAATTTTAACGAAACTTGTACAATACATCAAATTTTAGAAGATCACACTTTTGAGAGAGATACAAGTTCAAACTTTAATCGAAACTTCGGAAGATAACAAACACGTAGCATGACCGAGAGAGAACAAAATAAAATTTTATTGGAGCTTTAGTGCAATGGTCGCCTCATTAAAAACTGTCTAGGTAAAACTCACCCTTGTGAGAAACCCTAGACAGGGGAAAAAAGAGTCACCTAGCTCCTTTTAAGTTCATTGTCCTTAAATCAAAGTTCATAAGTCCAAAGATATTGGTCCGGCACATAAATGATAACTAAGACAACTAATCAAGATAAAGTTCTTCAAATGCTTCTTCAAGCTCTGGTCTTCCACATTGTCTTCGCATCCTTGCCTCAATTTGCCTCCCCGTCTTTGATGCGGTGAGCATCTCCACCATCTCGACCTTGACCTCCTCCGCCGCCTCCTCGATTATCCCGCCGGTCATACTAAAAGTGGACTCGGAAGATATGGTAGAAACAGAAAAGTTAAAATATCTTTAGCCATGATTGTGAGAATCGGATAAGTGAGTTTGTGCTCATGCCACCAGCGGAGAGTTAAAATCATCAGCGGCGGCTATGATGTCACAGTCCAAGTAGGAAACCGATTTGAAGTATTATTAGAAGAACTTAAAAGATGCAGATAGGGCGATTCTTGGAGAGGTATGTCTAGACAGATTAAGAGTACCGAGATAGAGGATGGATACCACTGCAGAACAATCACCTTCATCATCATCATAAATCTCATCCCAAGCAGACCTTTTCTTACAGACGCATGTTAGGAGGAGGGACCTCCTCAACCTAACAGATCCAAATTTCTTCTCATACTTATTGTAAACATCAGTTAGTCGAGCTCTAGTGGCAAGTTGGTAAGTTTCATAGGATGTACCGTAAGGCTACCCAACCTCCCTCGATTTCTCTTTGAAACCTTTCATTTTAGCTCTAGGATCTAAGATGAATGCAAAGAATATAGCAAAGGAATATTCCTCCAAAGATTTATTATATTTGTCTATCATTGGTTGAATCACATGTCTGAGGTGAGTGTCATTACCATAGTTTTTTAGGTGTATAGCAATCTTAACTAGATAATGAATCATAAGTGGAGATGTAGGATAGTACACACCAGACAAAGCAACAAGAGCATCATAAAACAGTTCAAGAAATTTAAATACTTTTTGTACAACAGCCCAATGTTCATCGATTAAAAGCAAGCGACCACCTTCACCCCTAGGATAGTGAGCATGCATGAAAGTAGTGAAAGAGTCTGCGGTGGAAACAAATGCTTGAGCATCGATATGTAGAATTCCACCTTACCTCCATGTCCAAATTGAAATTTCCTAGGTCTAACACCGGTGTGGCAATACAAGAACTTTTGTATGCGCAATTCTACAAGTTAGATGAGTTCAGAAATGATATTGCAGTTCTAAATGTTTCAATCAAAGGTGAAGAGCATTAAGGGCCTCCTTAACAATGAGATTTATGATATGACACGCACAACGCCGATGCATAAACAAAGTACTAACTGCATTATCGGTTTCATTTCTATCATTTCTATCATTATCGGGGTACTTCAATACCAAGATATTTAGATAGTACAGCCTAAGTGTACGCATGGCGAAACATTAGATGAGGCATTGTCCAAAGTAACAAAGAAAGACCTTTTCGGTCAAACCATAATCAAGCAAACACAGATATAACCCTTTCAAAGAATGTTTTGTCCACTATGGGACACATCAATAAGCACAAGACCAAGCACCCTCTTCTCTAGTTGCCAATCGGGATTTATGTAATGAGCAACCACACTAAGATAGTCCTCTTTGGCATTACGGACCAAATGTCGAGGTAAGACAAACACAATTTATAGCGAGATGAACTAAGAGTCTCAACAAGCTTAGTCTTTTTATCGATGAAGTATTTGACTATGTCTCTCGGTGGTGGTTTGTCTAGAGACAGAACAAACTTTGGATTATGAGCATTTCTAATGTAATCATAAAAGCATCAGTTTCACCCATACTGAGATAGGCACATCAAGTCTACAAAGCAATCGAACCCGATTCGGTCACGAGCAACAATAGATGATACTCCCAAGAACGCATACTACCATCAGGATTAAAAGATATCTCGAGACCGAGTCATGCGAGTTTTCTCATTCCTCTTAACACATTTGTCCCTATGACGAGTGAGGTGACCAAAGTGCCACCACTAGAGAGAGCAGAGATCTTGCTTATTGCGGTGGATGCAATGAGCGGCATACCTTACCTTCTTACCTTTGGGACCTTTTTGAACAACTTCTTAAAATCGAGCCACACACCGAGGTAGAAGGACGCGTGGCGCTTGTTGTCGTTGTCATCCTCTCCTTCTTCTTCTTCGCCCCCTATTGCATCATTCTTTGCCGCCATCGGCCACAATGGGATCCTCAACGCGACGGCCGAACAGCTCACATGGCATCCTCGCTTGGTCATCCTCGTCGTCATCTCCGGCTAGCCCGCACATCCGCCTCTCATCGTTGGCGCTGACCTCAACGGTCTCGTCGGAGGAGCGGGCCATCATCACTGGGCCGGCCGCCGGTTCCTCAACGGCTTCACACATAAACAAAGAATCGATGAGTGAGATCTAGTTAGGGTTAGGGTTAGGGTTAGGGTTAGGGTTAGGGTTCTGATACCTTGGCGGCGGAGCACCGAACGCCGGCGACGTCGACGACGGGATCCGCCCTCTCTGGTTCCTCGGCGGATGCGAATCAAGAGGGACCTACTGGGACGGGAGCACATCGGATCGAGATCCGGAGGGGATAAGAGAGGAAGAGCCAGATCGGAGGGGAGCAAAGCTCAACTTACCGACATCCGAGCACCAGAGTTGGGGGCCCGGCGAGGTCGACGACGGTGACGAATGAAACGACGAGGTGGGCGACAAGGATGCCACCGGGAGGCTTAGAAGAAGAGAGGAGACACCACCGGAGAGGGAGACGAAAGAGGAGAGAGCCGCTCGCGAGAGGTTAGAGCGAGAGAGAGAGAGAGAGGGAGCTGAAACAAATGAGCTAGGGTTTCGTCGATCTGGGCGGCGTGGGCTGCGTGGGGAAACGACGAGGTGGGACGACAAGGCTACATCAACGGAGCGAGATCAAGACGAAGTTGCGTGCAGTGTGCCGTCTTGGCCAAAGTGGTGGCTCTAGATGCCACCGAGGGCGAGAAGAAGAGAGGAGACACCACCGGAGAGGAGAGGCGAAGAGAGGAGAGAGCCGCTCGCAGAGGTTAGAGCGAGAGACAGAGAGAGAGGGGCTGAAACAAATGAGCTAGGGTTTCGTCGTCACGGGCGGCGGGGCGCGCTGGCTTATATCCTTTTTGGAGCTGTGCCAAGGCTCACGCCCTGCTTGCCGTGTTGCGTGCACAGGCGTGCTAAGCGGGCCGAGGTGTGGCAGCCCTGCACGCATCTGCTTTGTTGCTTGCCGTGCGTGCACGTGCACGGCACGGCAAAGGCGGGCCGGGCCGGGCTGGGCCGTGCTTTTTTAGTGCCGTGCCGTGTGCGCGCCCATGATGTTAGTGCCATTTGGAAAACTATAGTCACAGGTGCTCTTCTTGCTTCATGCATGGACGACGCCATGGCTGAGCTCGTGGAGCTCGTGGGCAGCTCGGGTTGGACGGAGGGAAGCAGGGCGAAGACCACAGGGAGGGAGGGAAGAGCGAGGGGATGCTCATGAGCTGCTCACCTCGTCCTGCGACAACGGTCAAGCCCGGCTCGTGCATATGGCCGTATACGGTATACGCGTGGCAAAGCGAAGCGAGAGCAGGCGAGCGAGTAAGCTGAGCGTGCTGCTGGGTGGAGGAGGAGAGCACCTCGGCGTCGCCTTTTATAGGCCGGAGAAGCGGCTGCGCGTGGACGATGAAGTTCTTCCGCTCCTGCAGGTACGCCGCGCCGCGGAGAGCTAGCGACAGGAGCAGCAGCAGGGTGGCGCGACACCACAAGGCCGCTTAGCCGGTTAGCCGGGCCGAAATGCACTAACCCTGTCATGATTCGAGCAGGAAAACACACATGCATGCCCGGCAGACGAGCGACGGCGACGAGTGCGGGCATGGCTCCACCGACGCAAAGACGGGAGGTCGAAGCCGACATGCATGCATGCGTGCGTGCACCTGCAGTGAACCATTTTAAAAGTTCATGCACCAAAAATGCAGTTTCAAAGTTGATGGACCTAGAAGACACAAAACAAAAGTTAATTAACTCAAAAATACAGTTTCAAAGTTGATGGACCTAGATGACACCCTAGCAAAAGTTAATGGACCTCCGATGTATTTTACTCTTATCTTTATTTAGGTCTAAACTTTAGTCCATGTTTGGAAGCTAATTAGAAATATTAAACGTGATCTAATTATAAAACTAATTGCATACGCGGTGGCTAATTTACGAGACGAATTTACTAAGCCTAATTAATTCATGATTAATAAATACTTACTGTAGCATCACATGAACAAATCATGAATTAATTAGGCTTAATGAGTTCGTCACATGAATTATCTCTATTTATGCAATTAATTTTGTAATTAGTCTATGTTTAATACTTAATTGGTATGAAACATTTGATGTGAAATGGACTAAAGTTTAGTCCAGCTGATCGAAACACATCAGCCATACATTTTCAGCGAAATAACAGTGTTTTTCTCTCACAACAAATCAGCATCAGCCGTTTTTCCAGCCAACCAAACAGGGT